TGGCCCAGCCAGAGCCTGGGATTGAACCCAATCAAATATTTCTGGAAAAACCTGAAAATGTGTGTCTGCCCCCATCCAAGCTAACAGAGCTTGAGAGGTGAACAGGTGAGGTGAAGGATGGCAGATAATTGCCAAATGCTGATGTGCAAAGCTTGTCGCATCATACCCAAAAAGACTTGAGGCTGTTAAGGTGCTTCAGCTAAGTACTGAGTTGTTGCAATGTACTTATTTAAGTTTTCTATTTTTAATAAATTTACAAAGTTGTGACATTTCTGTTTTTGCTTTGTCATTATGGTGTATGAAGTAGTGTAGATTGATGTGGGAAAAAAGTAATTTAAAGCAGTTTGACATAAGGCTGCAACATAAAACGTGAAATAAATGAAGGACATTGCACACACACACACACATATAATATTTTGTGTTACCCATGACAAGCCAGTTAATTTGAACAAAGAGTTAAATCACGGGGGTTGTTAACATGTGACAGTGTCAGTCTCACATTTTGACCTTTTAAAATGGTGAGAAATGCATGAAGGAGGAACTTCATTTGACAGCAAGCAGTGGTTGGTTGAACGTCATACACTCTCTCCCCTCCTTGTTAAATGTGCAGAATTCAGTCTTTATTCAGTCAAAAATAGCCTGCACTGGAATGCAGGTGGTATAACGTTTAAGGAAAAAACAATACCCGCTCTCATTCCAATTTTAACCAGAGAGCCAATTTCTTTGGTGCTCATAGATGGCAGAAGAGGCTTTGATAGAACCTAATGGGAAAAGTAGAGGGGTAAGTAGGCCTAATTTATTTTGCATATTAGGATTTTATAATAATAATAATAATACGTGTTTAATTAATTCTTTAATTTTTGACGCAACCAAGAGTTTTGAGAAGGAGAAAATATTCGAAATATTATAAAACATGATGGTTCCTCTAGATGAAAAGGCTATCACAATTCATGTCGTGCATATGTTAAATTCTCGTTTACAGGGAGATTTTGGCTTTATAATGAAATCATCTCTTTTTTGTTCTCAAAATGTCTTTATTTCGTTCTCGTAATTGTCTGTAAATCTGCAGTTTAACTTGTAATCTCTTTAAAAGCGCAACTAATCTAAACTTAATTCACTGTCTTTATTTAGCTATTTATAGCATATTTCCAAACTAAAAACTGTGTGTGTAAGAATGTCACTATCCAATCTGCATGTAGAATGGCTCATGAACCTGTGTTTTTTCACACTTCTGTGAAGGAAGCCCAGCAACGCAGCAATATTACAATGTTTCTTACAGTTTCTATAAATTAATTTATGATCCTTATATGTTCAAAGGCAGCAGTCCAAAGTGAATTTTATTTGGTATTTTTCTCATCAGACAAACATTAAATAACATGTCTCTTTTTTCATGCTTCTTCAAGCTTTAGGGTCATGTTTATAAATGTAAAGCATTTTTAGCAAGCAGCTGTCTAGCTATAGGCAACACTCTTGGAGAGACAGCAAATGGCAGCAAGATCTTAGAAAATAACAACATGAGTAGCACATCTTGTCAGGCAGAAAAAGAAAATGTTTATCACTAAATGTGCTGTCATGGTACATTAGGTAGCACCAAACAGCATGCGTCACATTAAAAAAAATGATAATGTGAAAGCTGTCATGAACTTTCCCATTCATTTTCTGTGAGGGGATTAGAAAAAAAATATTCAATAAAGATAAACCAAAACAACTTAAGAGATCAATCACAACATTACAACCTTTAATTTAAAGGGGGAAAAAAAGAAAGAAAAAAGAATCATCCCTCAAGACTCATCCCAACAAGAATTGCGAATTAATGATGTAATCACATTTTAAATGACTGTACAATGATATGTCATTGATCCTGAACTCTTCGTAGGTCTGTCTTGAAAGGTTTCCACATTATTGCGTAATTTCTTTATATGAAGAAAAAAATTAAATTTTTACCTCTTTACTGCATCTTGTGAACATCTTGTGCCTGTTGCAGAGAAAGCTCTCTTTCTGAGAGCCCTGTGTTCTCTTTCTGTGGTCCCACCCATACAATTTTGAGTAAATTTAAGCTCAGACCCTGTTTATAGGTTTTTACTGTAATTTTACTGTTTTAAATTTTTTTTTTTTTAAGTAGCTTTTTGAGAATATTATATCAGTCTCCAACTATGCATTATAAATTCATTGTACAATACATATAAAAGAAAGTTAAGATGGTTTGTGAAATATAAAAAAGGAATTACTGTTTATTTCTATTTTTGCTCTTTTTACACATTACTTATTCACAATTGACAATCTCTCCCTTCATACTTTGAGTTTTCCACTTCTTATCAACTGAGACGTTTTTTTTTTTTTTCATTTAACTGCTTTCCCACTTTTGGCAGGTGATGATAGTGATTTTGTACATGTGCAGGGTAATTATTGTAACTCAGTTTGCCTGGGCAGTGCACACTCATGCCAGATCTAGTCATGGTTCACTTGCACGCTAATGCAGTCACATGCTGAATGGATCAGCGCCAGAGTCTAATACTTTAGACTCAGTTTACGGTTTATAAACAATATAACATTTGTGCTTGAAGTGTGATTTTGTACTCCAGAGAGAAAATTCTTACTTTATTGTGCATGTTGATTGCAGTGTGTATTGAATCAAATATTTCTGTAATCTACTCATTCTTTCTATATACAGTGGTTTCGCTATAGGATTCTGGGCCCTGTGCACAAATTTGTGTTTGATCTTAGCCTGGCTTTCCCCAGGACATCGCTGTTAGCCCCTCTAAGCCTCTGGGACCTATGCACACAGTTCCCCTTTTCCCCCTGATCACAATGTCCCTGTGCCTATATAAGCAGCAGTGTTGAACACCCCAAAGCTGCTTATAAACCTGATTGATGATTAAAGAAAAGTCTGTTTATATCCATATAGTTTTTTTTAAGCCAAAACAGCTTCCTTGTAAAAGCAGCTTCATGTTAGAAACAATGTAATAATGTGATTTATCTAAGTGCCAGACATACTACGAAAAGTTTACATCCAAAAACAAGGATGCTTGTTATTATAAATGGCTACCTGCCTCATGGTTGTCTATCACTTGTTTCTCTAGCATCTAACCTCATCCCTGTTGGCGGTAGCGTTCCTCTCTTCTTTTGGGAGCTCCATGCTGTATGGTTATAACCTGGCTGTTGTTAATTCTCCTGCAGAGGTGAGTGACACCACAAACACAATTTTTCACATAGCCTCACATAACTCTTTTTTTTATGCAGCTGGATTGGATCACCTACTTGGTGATTCAATCCAGATGATACAAACTCATCTACATATTAGCTAGCCTGAGGGTGAGTACATTTTCATTTTGGGGTGAACTATTCCTTTAAGTGTGTGATTTAAGTTTTTTTTTAAATCGTTAGATAATTGATTCTCATATTGCTGCCTAACATATATTATAACTGTTTAAGCATGACTGGTAATGTCCATTCATGTCCATTTGTTCTTCACACAGTACATAAAGGACTTTTATAACCAAACCATTGTGAGGCGGAATGGGTCAGGAGTGGATAAAGAGTCTCTCACACTTATTTATTCAGTCACTGTGTCTATATTTGCCATTGGAGGCCTGGTGGGCTCTCTCACAGTGGGAATACAAGTTACCAGATTTGGGAGGTACAGTATGCAGCTTATACATGTTTCCCCTCTATTAAACTTAATACGAATAGTTTCTGAAATGTTGACTCATTGAATCAGCTGGCCAAAGTTCAATAGCTACTTGAATGCGTTGTGCATCTTTCTAATTTGTAGGAGAGGGACACTGGTACACAGCACAGTTCTGGTGTTTATCGCCGGAGTGCTGATGGGCTTCAGCCGATTATGCGGATCTCCAGAGATGATCATCATTGGGCGCTTCATTGTAGGGATACACTCAGGTTATTAGTTTCATTGAATATGGAAGGCCTTCAATGCCAAAAATCACTCACCATGTCATTTCCATAACATGACTTTCTTTTCTTTTTTTCTGTGGGACATAAAATAAGATTTTTTTGATGGTTGTCTCAGTTTTTTTTTTCTTTTTCTTTTGAACAGCGGAATACATTTAACAATTTTAGTGTAGTCCTTCCTTTCTTAAATATGTACACAGCAATTTGTCTACTTATATTGGATTTTAATTTTCTCCTTTGAATTTATTGAGCTGCTGTACTGATATATGCTTCTCTGTTGTGCTTCTGCAGGGATTTCTCTCAGCGTAGTGCCCATGTATCTGGGAGAAAGTGCTCCAAAGAATCTCCGGGGCTTCCTAGGACTCGTGCCCAGCATCTTCATCTGCATAGGAGTGTTTATCGCTCAGATTCTGGGACTCCATGAGCTCTTGGGCAAGGTGGTTCCCCTCCATTTTATTTTATAACATTGTTTGTCTTTCTCTGTTATGAACATCAGAGATTAATTGATATTTTTTTTACTTTTGTTGTGGCAACATGTTTTAAACAGAACTGTTTCTGCTTTACTTTCAGTCTTGTTAAGTCTTCTTATCATTATCATTTGGTTGTTCCACACAGGAAGAGCACTGGCCTCTGTTCCTCTCTCTAGTTGTGGTGCCTACATTCATACAGCTCATGCTGTTGCCATGGTTCCCAGAGAGTCCGAGATATCTGTTGATGGAAAAGCGGAACATTCATGCCACTATCACAGGTAAAGACTTATATTTAAAAGAACAGTTCACCACAAAATAAAATTTTTATTAACCATCATGCTGTTCCAAATCCATATTACAGTCTTTCTTAAGTGGAACACAAAAGGTGATTTTTTTTTTTTTCAAGAATACCCTAAAGATTATTATTGAATAGCAAAATTTTGCTTCACACAGAGCAATTGCATAACTTCAGAAGACTTATATACCGCTTATATAAATTGCATGGACTACTGTATGAACTATGATACTGTTATGGTGCTTTTATTCTTTGAAAGCCTTTTATCATTCATTGTAATTTTATGGAAAAAAGTGACCACTGCATTCTCTGGTGTGTAAACCCTAGTTAAAAATAATATGTTTAAAATACATTTATTTCATACTAAGTATAGTTCAAATCTATTGATATATTTACTAACATATTGCTCAAGACTTACTGATATAAACATTTTAATTAAACTTTATTTGGAGTACTACTTGTGCACAATGCACATTTCTTAATATTAAGTCTAAAATGTGTTTTAATGTCACTATTGATGAGGATTGTATGATCTTTGAATAATATCGGTCTTTAAATGCGAGATATTTAAAGTGTACCTGACGTATACTTGCAATAGTTCCACTTTAGCACAAGCAAATATACTTCAGTATATCTTTAGTTGGACTTCAGCACTATTTCTGCACAATTAAAATGCATGTAACGGTATATGTAATATACTTAGCATGAAGTACGTGTATTTCAAATACATTTAGTATATTTATTTTTCACTATAGGGAAGTTTGGAAAAAAAAAATCTATCTCTGTTTTACAACTTAATATCTTCCATGAAAAAAAAAAATCTAGAAATTCTTCTGAATGTTCACTGCATTAAGGTTGATTGAGTTGTGTTGGAGGGATTAGTGGCCAGACCAGCAGACTCTCATAAGCTGTTATTGTTCATACTGTGATCTCAGGCTTCAGAAGCCGACACTACAAAGGCCCATCGGTCATACAGCAGCTACCAGGCAGGAGAACTCACTGACTGCAGCAAAGAATGTGAGACAGGATTAGAGGAGAGTAGCAGAAACATGAAATCATTTCAATACAGAATCATTACATATTTGTGTGATTTAAATGTAAGCACATGTACTTCTTGAAGGATGACTCGATGAATGAGATAATTAATGAAACATTTACATATCTTAGATAACTAGCTCAGAGAACTACGGCTCAGAGAACAACCCCAAATCTGTACGCTTACACAAGGACAAGACACACAATACATGAATGTCAGGATCCTGTCACCAAACTAAGAATAAGATCAATGAAGGTGACAGGACCCTGACACTATTGTTCTGCTTTAAAACAATGTGCATTGTGAAAGACACTATATTAATAAAATGGACTATTTTTAATTATTATTATTATTTTATTTATGAGGGTCCTTGAGAAAAAGAAGTACGCTTTATCATACTTTTAAAATATGTTTATGTATTGCGTAATAATATTTGTTTTACAACTTAATATCTTCCATGAAAAAAAAAAATCTAGAAATTCTTCTGAATGTTCACTGCATTAAGGTTGATTGAGTTGTGTTGGAGGGATTAGTGGCCAGACCAGCAGACTCTCATAAGCTGTTATTGTTCATACTGTGATCTCAGGCTTCAGAAGCCGACACTACAAAGGCCCATCGGTCATACAGCAGCTACCAGGCAGGAGAACTCACTGACTGCAGCAAAGAATGTGAGACAGGATTAGAGGAGAGTAGCAGAAACATGAAATCATTTCAATACAGAATCATTACATATTTGTGTGATTTAAATGTAAGCACATGTACTTCTTGAAGGATGACTCGATGAATGAGATAATTAATGAAACATTTACATATCTTAGATAACTAGCTCAGAGAACTACGGCTCAGAGAACAACCCCAAATCTGTACGCTTACACAAGGACAAGACACACAATACATGAATGTCAGGAGCCTGTCACCAAACTAAGAATAAGATCAATGAAGGTGACAGGACCCTGACACTATTGTTCTGCTTTAAAACAATGTGCATTGTGAAAGACACTATATTAATAAAATGGACTATTTTGAATTATTATTATTATTTTATTTATGAGGGTCCTTGAGAAAAAGAAGTACACTTGATCATACTTTTAAAATATGTTTATGTATTGCGTAATAATATTTGTTAAAATAATTTACTTGAGTGCGAACAAATGCAACGTTTTCAACACTAAATGAAAATGTATTATAGTTTACTTTTATATAAAATGCAGTTAGCTTGAACTGTGTATCGTAAAGTAGGAATTACATGCATTTTATATGTAATTTCAGAATTACTTTTATTGCCTTTGAAAAATGGTTAAAGTGCACTGCCAAATTTACTGACAAGCATTTATGGCATTTCTATTGAAACTTTTATGTCATGTATTTAAATATATTTGTAATTACACATTTGTCACAATGAAGTTTCAATTTAATACATTTAAAATACTAACTTTAAATGTAATATCGAATAACACTAAATTTAAAATTATAAGCAAGTACTTCACATGTGCTTTAGTATATTCAAAACATGACAATAAATGTGCATTAAAGCACAACAAAATAATATTAAAACAATTTAAACTGTACTTTAAATTAAAACATTATTAAAAAGGGGAACTTCTTAAAATTGTAGAGGTACTAGAGTATTCTGCTGTTTTGACGTGATCTGATATAATCTGATAAAATTATATAATGATGTTCAGATTCTGATTCCTCTTTGCAGCACTGAAGTGGTACCGTACCAAAAGTAACATCCAAGCTGAGGTGGAGGAGATGCAGGAAGAGCAGCGCTCTCTGTCCTCAGTAGAGACTGTCTCAGTATTGCAGCTCGTCAGGGATCCGTCTGTTCGCTGGCAGCTTGTTACAGTCCTTGTGGTCAATGCTGGCATGCAGCTGTCTGGAATCGATGCGGTGTGTGTGTGCTTTTAGCAGTGAAAACTGGTCATGATGAACATAAAATGGCTATAACGTTATTTGAGATAATAAAATGGTTTCAATTCCTAGATCTGGTTCTACACCAATGCCATCTTTGAGAATGCGGGTATTCCTGCCCATCAGATTCAGTACACAACCGTGGGCACTGGAGCCATAGAGGTCATCGCTGGATTCATAGGGGTGAGAACACAATGACTGCTACCAAAGGCATACATTAAATACTGGGAAACCATGTTTCATTGTCTCCTGCAATTGTGATTCTCGTGTGCATACATTTAGGTTGCTTTTGTGCAGCAGTAAAAACTCAGTATAAACACACAATATGACTGCAGAGTCTATGCTGAGTAAAAATGCTCTAGAATGGCAAATATAGATGTCTCCTAAGTAACACTGTGAGTAATTCATAATCTTTTAATTCTCTGGATGTTGTCCAGTGCTTTACTATTGAGCGTGTGGGTAGGAGGCCTCTGATGATTGGTGGCTTCAGCTTTATGGGTGTGTGCTGCGCTGGAATCACTTTCTCCCTACTATTACAGGTAAATATGAACACCATATTTACTTGCTAATTATGAACATATTTACTTACTCTTAATCACTTCAAGAATATTATTGACCATTGAGTAATAATTAGTTATTAGTTATTAATTAATTAGTTATTACTAATTATATCTTGTTATTATTAATAATAATAATAAATGTTTCTTGAACAGCAAATCAACATATTAAAATGGTTTCTGAAGGATCATGTGACAGTGAAGGCAGAAGTAATAATGCTGAAAATTTAGCTATTTCGACAGAGAAATAACGGTGAAGAAAGAGGGCAGTATTGTTTGTATGCTGTGTTCTGGTGCTACAAACCGCTCTTCTGTGCACTGCGAGAATGTGATGTTTTCCTGAATTATCTTGTGTCATTAGATCCCTTACAAAAGAACCATTAAAATAGCCCATATGACAAGTACTATAGAGTTTGTATTTGCAAGTCTTCCGAAGCCATACAATAGTTTGTGTAATGAACAGACTAAAATTAGAGCTTATAATAATAATAATAATAATAATAATAATAATAAGGATGACTTGCAGCACTTGATACAGTAGCACATCATAAAGAGATTCTGCAGGGCGCCCAGCTTATGAATCCATTTTTAATTACCAAAAACGGAGAGCCTGCTGGGGCACTGGAGTTCATGGAAGTTCACTTCGTTTAATGTTTCTATTACAGACTTACTTTCCAGTGTGATTTTCAAGTAATCATTTCAAGTAATGATTTTCAAGCTCATTCAGATGTCTGATAACTCGCTTTCAAAACTGGCGTGATTTTTTTCTTCACTCCTTTTTCTTGCGGTTATGCAATAGTTTTCACTTACTGTAGGTTGAGACTGTAATTATAGGATGTTTCACGATATATATATATATACACTAGCATTCAAAAGGGGGCAGTAAGATTTTCAATAAATATATTGATCTCTGGTTCTTTTGTCTGTATTAGGCTCACGTATCCTTCATGCGGTATGTCAGTGTGGCCTGTGTGGTTGGAATCATCGCAGGATTCTGCATTGGGCCTGGTGAGGATCTCACTGAACAGGAATTTATCTCAGTCATTTTCATGCCTTCATCGATATCAGACTCTTAAAGGTTGCCCTTTATATTTGTAACGGTCAAGCTAAATAGGTCATATTCATGGAATGATGTTAACAGAATTACTCATTTTAAAACGAAACCAAGGTTTGCTACCATAAAGCATTTTATTGGATAGACTGGTGCCACCTGCTGGTGAAAGAGTATTTGTTTTATGGAAAAGAAAAAATGCATTGAATCATGTAGACCTATATGCTACATAGCTTATCATATAGCAGTGTTGCTTTTTTAAATTAATTAAAAAATGCATCATATTAATGTGACTTTAATGCTGTTATATGTTTGTTCCTGCACAGCTGGTGTCCCGTTTCTCATGACAGGAGAGCTCTTTAAACAATCCCATCGACCTTCTGCCTACATTGTAGGGGGATTTCTCAACTGGATATCTAACTTCACTGTGGGATTTGTCTTTCCATTCCTTCAGGTAAGTCTGTTTTTAAACAAATACACCATATACACCTTTTATAAAATGTCTAAAAAATTACAAAAACATAATTTTACAAAACAAATATTACAAAACATATATAGATTGCTTGTATATATATGTTGTTTTAATAAAGTTGCATATATAAATAAAATATAATTATATTGTTGACATATATGATTGCTACATATAATACCTTATCATATACTAGATTGTCACGGGTTGCTGGGGAAAGGAGCTTGAAGGAGGCAGATAGTCAAACAAACGGAGTCTTTAATAAATCCACATGGGAAAGTAGGAGAAAACAACTTTTTTACACGACGGAGACAGGAAAAAGAAACTATGAAAAGGCAGGGCTATAAATACTAAACCAAACGATGGACTAATAAGATGATTAAAGAGCACAGGTGGAAACTAATGAACTAATCAAGCAATGCAGGAAAACTAGGTCAAGGCAGCGAGAACAGAAACACAGAACATAAACGTGACATAGATATTATTAACGTTAGTAAATACAGCATACACATTTTTATGGAGATTTTAGGTTTGTTATAAACGTACATCTTCATCTATGAAAATTATATATCGCCCTATAGGTATCATATATGATAATATCACTATTTAGGGGAAGACTAGGGGAAGTCGTGGCCTAATGGTTAGAGAGTTGGACTTGTAACCCAAAGGTTGCGGGTTCGAGTCTCGTACCAGCAGGGATTGTAGGTGTGGGGAGTGAATGTACAGCGCTCTCTTCCACCTTCAATACCACGACTGAGGTGCCCTTGAGCAAGGCACCGAACCCCCAACTGCTCCCCGGGCGCCGCAGCATAAATGGCTGCCCACTGCTCCGGGTGTGTGTTCACGGTGTGTGTGTTCACTGCTGTGTGTGTGCACTTTGGATGGGTAAATGCAGAGCACTAATTCTGAGTATGGGTCACTATACTTGGCCTCACGTCACTTTCTTTTTTTTTTCACTTTCTTTATGTAGGGCCATATTTGTCATATGTTACATTTCTGTATGTGTTTAACTGCAAATTATATTGTCAGCATACTAATTGTTTATTTTCACATTAAATTGGACTTTTAATGTCAGATTTTCATTGAATTTTCAGATGTCAGCTGGTGCGTTCTGTTATCTGGTGTTCTGTGGTGTGTGTGTGGGGGTGGCAGCCTACGTTTTCTTCATCATCCCTGAAACAAAGAACAAAACCTTTGTGGAGATCAGTCAGATGTTCGCTTCAAGAAATGCTTGTGAAATTGAAAACCAGCCGCTGGGAATCACTGACCAACTCGGGCTCAAAAAAATGAAGGGGTATGGTGCACTGGTGCCTGGAGATGTGGACAAAATGGACAGGACCGAGAAATAGTTGTGAAGAAAGAGGGCAGTATATGCTGTGTTCTGGTGCTACAAACCACTCTTCTGTGCACTGCAAGAATGTGATGTTTTCCTGAATTATCTTGTGTCATTAGATCACTTATAAAAGCACCATTAAAGTAGCCCATATAGAGCTTTTATTTCCAAGTCTTGTGAAGCCATTCAATCGTTTGTGTAATGAACAGACTAAAAATAGAGCTTATGCACTAGTTGGAAATCAACAACATCTCATATTATTGTTCGACTAGTAACCAAATGTCAAATCGGTACAATAGATGCCATGTTTTGAGAGTTTCAAAACTCTCCTGTTCATTTTATAATGTCATTAACTGCATTTTTCTCAAGAAAGATTGCAGCACATTCAAATGGGAACTTCCTGAGAGCTTCAGTTTTGGTTTGTTCCTCACACAAAGCTTTCGTAGGTCTTCTGAAGTCTAAGAATATAGAGCACATGTCATGGACTACAGTACAGTTCAAAAATTTGGGGTTGGTAAGATTTTTTTATGCTTTTGATAGAGCTCTCTTCTGCTCACCAAGGCTGCATTAACTTGACCTAAAATACAGTAAAACAGTAATATTGTTAAATATTATTGCAATTTGAAATAATTGTTTTCTATTTTAACATATTGTAAAATGTAATTTATGGTGAAAAGCTGAATTCTCAGCTGAATTACTCCAGTCTTGTGTCACATGATCCTTCAAAAATCATTCTAATATGCTGATTTGCTGCTCAATAATTTTTTTTTTTACTATTATCATCAATGTAGTGTCTTTAATGAATAGTTCAAAAGAACAGCATTTATTTGAAATAAAAAGAAATGAAATAATTTATTTCCCCACCAAAAAACCTCGCTGACTCCAAATATTTGAACAGTAGTGTACTTTTGTAGTATAGAAAATGATAGTCTTTTTTATCATAACCTCAGGTTGCATTGCAGGTAAACTGTTCTTGTTCTGCAAATCACTTTAAATAAGACTGCATCGGCTAAATGACAGAAAAAAGAAAAAGAGGATTTATATTCCTCCTACCTGTTGAAATCTGTGACCTGTCATATATAACATGGCTAAAAGTATTATTGTTGTTGTTTTTGTTGTTGTTGATGATGATGTTGTTGAAGTGAACTGTCCCTTCAGTAGTTTTATTTTCAGCCTTATGAAAGCTATAACGTGGCCAAAGTATCTTAATGGATTGTATTTTCCTTAAGCTATATCGTTTATACAGTTGTCTCCCTTATTTATGTAAGGGAGTATGTTCTTGGCTACATTAGTAGTTTTATTCCAGAACATACGTTTATTTGCCTTTATGGGGTACACATAATAATAGTAAATTAACTTTAATTTATTAAATAAAATTGAGAACAAAATAATGATAACCAACCAATGATAAAGCAAATCAAGTATCTGAAAATCAATGTTGTAAATGTTAAATGTGTTGTAAGATATTGTTTAACAACAAGTCAATATGTTGTTTTCAAGTATAAATACAACATCTTTTTGTCATGTCATGTGACTGACTTTATTAATATGTAGTATGTGTATTGGTCAAAGACATTCAGTCTGACATGTGCAGGAAAAAAACAGCAGAGGGCGCACCAGGACATAAATATGACCACAATTTTCTAAAACATTTTCTGGATGATATAGGACAAGGGTCTTCAACGTGATGATCCCCATGTGAAGGACCCCCTTTCTAAAAAATAAAGGCAGCTGTCCTATATATTTCCATGTATTAAGATTAATTTATACTGTCTGAGGAAAGGTGTCATGCTGTAAATACAGTACAACATGTCTGTAAAATTAAATAATTAGCTCTTATGTTGTTCACATTTAATTTGGACTAAAGCCAATTTAAATTATAAAAAATATTATCTGGAAAATATTATCTGAAATATTACACCTTAGAGAAAAATAATGTAGCACAATGTACTGTTGTAATATGAAGAAATTTTCTGTTTTGCTCTTCCACTGGTGTTAAGTTACACATTTCATTGTTAAGAAACTTAACAGAAATGATACTGGTAATTTTTTGCCAGGACATTATCCATTTTTCTATGGATTTTTTAAAATATAGCGTAAATGTATAAACCTGAAGCTAAAAATATACATCAGCAGTTTAAAAACCTTAATCTTAATCAGTTTTTATTCACAGTTCTAAAGGGGTCATCGGATGCCCATTTTCCACAAGTTGATATGATTCTTTAGGGCAGTGATCCTCAAATCTGGCTCGCGAGATCCACTTTCCTGCAGAGTTTAGCTCTAACCCTAATCAAACACACCTGAGTTTGCTTATCAATGTCTTCAGGATCATTAGAAAATCACAGCTAGGTTTGTTTGATTAGGGTTGGAGCTAAACTCTGCAGGAAAGTGGATCTCGCGAGCCAGATTTGAGTATCACTGCTTTAGGGTCTTAATGAAAAAATCTATAACAAACTTTGGTTAAAATTTCTCAATGGTAGTGTAAAAAACACCCTTTTTACCCGGTCAAAAACAGCTCTGCTCACAGCAAGCCATTTTAGTGCATGTCCCTTTAAATGCTAATGAGCTCTGCTCACCCCGCCCCTCTCTTCCATGGGGTGAAGAGCCAATCTCATGAGACTGTTTACTTTAGCGGCAGAACTTGCTAACTAACAGTTATTAGGAAAGGCGATTTGCAAAGATTCATAAAAGAACCTTATACTCACTTCTTCTGTAGGTAAGGCTGGATCACGAATGATTCGAGCAAACATAGACGCATTTAGGTAGATCGGGAGGCGCATTACCTTCAAAAACAAAGGTAATCCACTGCGTCTTCAGCGGCTCAGATGTCGGGAGTAAATGACGACTGCTATGTTCATTATTTCATCCAACAACAAGACACCTCAATCGCTTAGGAGCCATTCTTGTCTACCCCTGCTCCGGCGGTGAAACAATGGCGGACTGATGACAGCTCACTCAGGGCGGGTCTAAGGTAAAACGCTACTGTCAATCAACAATCGTGGGAGGGGCCTGTCAGTGTGACATCACACAGACAGGCATCTGAGATCGGCTCGATTTGAGGAAGGTGAAATGATTTAACAAGATTAAAAAAATAAAAAACACTGGGTGAATCTTTATCATTATAGGGTGGTTGTGTACACACACTGCCAACACACATTTCATTTCAAACAAATTGTAAAAGTGCATGTCGCATTCGATGACCCCTTTAAGGCCAAAAAATGTTTTACTTATCCAAGTTATAGCACTGTAATTCTTTGCCTCACTTTTTCCCACCAAATTTTTAAACATTTTGTTTAAAAACATACACACAACTAACTCAGTCTTCAGTTTTTCATCTTCCAGGACCTCAGATAACAGTAATGGTAAAAGTTGTCACCTGATCGCCTTGTACCATTGGCATCACTCTGAGAGTGGGGTGGAGTATCCAATCACATGGCCTGCTGGGCTTTGAGTGACAGAGCGGCAGATACAGAGAGTGTTTGATCGATTGACACTCCTCTCAGTTCCACCAGAGACATGCAAGCACACACTGTCACTGACAGATTGTGTCGAGTGTCCACTGAGTCCTTATCACTTACATCAGTCCATCCGCCCTTCGGCCCTACTAAGCACACACACACACACACTCACACACCATCTCCCCAAATCCCCCACCCATCCACTGTCAAGAGTACCAGCACATACCAGTCAGGTGCTTTCAACACTCGAAAAACTTGCCATGGAATTCCAGCTCTGTCTTATCTCTCCTGTATGGCACAGCATGTTTTTCATACCTGTCTAAGCTTCCTGTGACTCCAGACATTTCATCCACAGGAAACCCTGGAGAGCCAAGTCTTATTTTTCATACAGTTAGGTATTTTTGCTGGGAAAAAATCAGATTACTGCACACAGAATGATATGTTCTGTTATTTAAGGATTTTGCTGTTTCTCTGATAAAGTCAAATGATTATCAGTATTATTATTATACAATGATTTATATTATAATTAATAAAAATTTATATAAATTATATAAACATAAATAAATGTTTATTGATAAATGATTATCATGATTATTATTACATCATCTGTATATCATTGTTACTGTATTTTTGGTGACACATATAACTGTGTGTGTGTGTGTGTGTGGGTACATGCAAGCATTCTTAGGTGATTAACACATCGACAGTCTCAAACTGGTGCTACAGAGCGACTGCGTATGTGTACAGATAATGGAGATGATGGACGCCTGAAGAGGGACAGAAATGCCTCTGGAATCTATGTGCCAGTCTCATGTTCTAATGTGTCCTTCAGAATGTTCTTGAAAGCATTCCAGACTATTGTGACCCGACCCAGCAAAAACAAAAAATATTTTATTGTATATTTACATGTAAATAGTGTACACACTGTGGAGGCTGCAGGGTTATGTGCCATTCAGAAATTAATTTGAGAATTACTTTTAAATTCTAAGCAATTCTTGGATTTAAAATAAATGTGTATCTGCAATTTGAATTTGATTGCAAGGAAATAGATTTATAATTAAAACAAACTGAAATTCAAAATTTTTATCCAGAAAAGCAAAAGTTGTTTTAGAGACAAGAACCTAGTTTGACAGTTAAAAAGTCTTCAAGTTTAAAGGTTTGTTGGCCTTAAAGTGAAAATTTAAATTATCTCATCATTTACTCATCCTCATGTCATCCCAAGTGTATAGACCAACTGTATGCCTTTCTTTGTTCAAATGAACAGAGATGTTTAGAAAAAAATCTTTCTGATTCCATACAATGCGAGTGGATGAAATCCTCAAAGTTGATGCTTAAAAAATGAGAAGCAAAGCTATTGATTCACTTGAAGATATTGATTCATCAACTGGGATCATATGGATTACCGTTATGTTTGTTTTGCGTGGTTTTTGTAGTGTCAGCTTTGAAGGACCCATGCACTTGCATTATATGGATAGACTCACAGAGATGGATTGTTTTTCTAGAAATCTCCATTTTTGTTCATATGAAGAATAAAAGTAATTTACATTATGGGCAGCATAAAGGTGAGTAAGCCTAAATAAAAGTTACTTTTAAATGTACCTTTAAAGGAAGAGTTCACCGAAAAATGTGCTGTTTATTTATTCACTCTCAGTAAACAGTAAAGATGATTTTTGGCTGAACCCATGGTCCTTGCCAATTCAAAATACATAAGACAATTTGTGTATGAGCTTTAGGAGATTCATAATTTTATAGACATTACAGGTGTGGTCTGTTTGAGATGAAGAATTTAAAGGATGGAGTGAAGATGGGGTCAGACGAACATGGTTCTGTAGGGTTTGTTATCCTCTAACAATCTTGTGGTTGT